CCCTGAAATGGACTGTCTGGACCAAGTCTGCCTATCCCACTCCCCAGCACCAAAAGAGCCCTGGGGACCTACCCTCTTGCCACGCCTGCTATCCCCTCAGATCTGGCCTCGCTCTCCCCAAAAGGTTCCCCCCACACCATACTCTTCCCAGAAGGTCCTCCCTGTGGGCCTCCTGTCATCCAACCTCCCACAGCAGAGACCTGAGCAACAGCTCCAGACCATGAGGCCCTGCCCAGCTCTCCTTGGATGGAGGGGAATGTGAGGAAACACAGAAGACTCTAACTCAGTGGGGGTCTGGCTGCAGGACAGCCAGCAGCCATGGTCACACCTCCTCAGAGCGCCATCACCAGGGACAAGAAGGGTCTAGAGAAAGGAGCTCATAACCATCATTGTTTATCATCATGACTCATTTATTGAACGAGAAAAACTCATCTTGAACCATCAAACCTGAAAGCATAGGCCCAGATGGGGAAGGGGTGAGGGTGGGGCACTTAACATGGGGCAGACAGGGAAAGATGGGACAAGACCCTGTGGACGTGGTATTCCTTAACAAACTTCACCATCAGAGCTGCCACTATAGTATCTGACTGTATCTTGAAAACTCACATGCTATGTGCTAGGCATGATTTATTCCCTAGGCCAACAAGGGCTGTTGTTCGTGGGATTTGCTGGTCCTCCCAAGAAGGCATCCCCTACCCACTGCAGGGAGCCCTGCACCAGCATCCTCCCTACAAGAACAATGATAAAGCACACTGCTCTCCACCACCTTTCACTTCTCTTCCTAACCAGTGTGTTTTGGGAGGAGGGAAGGTAGAACTGCAGAAGAGTTCTGACACATGACTAGTGTTATGGTATGAATGTCTGTGTCCCCCCAAAATTCATATGTTGAAACCTAATCCCCAACGTGACAGTATTTGGTGCTGGGCCTTTGGGAGGTGATTAGGTCATGAGGGCAGAGCCTTTAAGAATGAGATTAGTGCTCTTATAAAAAGAGATGAGAAAAACTTCCTGTGCCTCTTCTACCACACAAAGACCCAGTGAGAAGACAGCCGTCTACAAACCAGGAAGTGGGCTCTCACTAGACACCAAATCTGCTGGCACCTTGATCTTGGACTTCACAGTCTCCAGAACCGTGAGAAATAAATTTGTTGTTTATAAGCCACTGAGTCGATGGTATTCTGTTATAGCAGCCCAAATGGACTAAGAGAACTAGCTAAGAATGTTTTGAAATAAGAGTAAAGAGAAGGAATTCTTTATTGGATATTAAAACATTACTAAAAGCTATGCTAGTTAGAGCAGTGTGGGACAAGAAGAAACAGAAAGATCAACTGAATGAAATAAGAATAAAATATGCATGTGATATATTCAATAAATAATAATTCACCGAGTTTCTAGTCTAGGGGGAAAATAAGAGAAGTACACAATTATGTTTTAATTCTCGCCAATGTAATAGCAAAATGTGTGAATGCCCCCAAGGTGGCTGGGGCTTGGGGAGGCAAAGATTTGTATAAAGTGCTAGTGAACCTGTAAACTTGTGTATCCACAGTGAGATCTTTCTATAACATCTATGGCCCCTATGTGACACCTGCAACGACGGGGTTGGCTAAATAACTCACGGTTAAAGCACCTCTCAACCAGGGTTTCCTTGACCATAAAGTGGCAACGACACTACAACCCACCCTGAGACTCGATGAGGATGAGACAGACCGTGAAGAGAGAAGTACCAGACTTGGCCTGGCCCCAAGGGAGTCATGAGGGTTCTTAGGCACAGTTTTATTTCTGTTGCTGTTGACAACGATCCCTTCCAATGACACTTCAAGGTGGGGTGGACATGCTCACTCTGCAGATGAAGAAACAGGCCCTCATTGACAGCCAAAACCAAGATGCCAATATCAGGGACAACAGGTAACCCTCTGGGGGAATTTCCCCAGCACTCTTCTGGTTTAATCTCCACAATCACTTTCAAGGTGGGCACAATCATCAGCCCCATTTTAAAATGAAGGAAACCAATGCAGGGTAGACAGGTGGTTCTAGGGACTTGCCCCAGGCCACACAGCATGTAAGTGGCCACCTCTCACGCCACACTGCAAGCTCTGGGATGCAAAGAACCGGGTTTGAGTCCAGCACATGTCCCTGCACCCCTCCCCCATGCATCTCTGGCCCATGGTATTCTGTTGATTGAGTGAATTTTTTCTGTTCACATCACAAATGCTAGCTTCGTCTGTTAGTAAGAAATGCAGTGACATAGCCTCGCTGGTCAGAGTGGGCAAACAGGAATGCAATGTTCCTCATCAGGAGGACAGCCACAACTTAACACCCACTCACAGTATGGTACATGCAAGAGAAGTGGATATACTGGCTTAGGCTGGCACCTTGGGCAGCTTGCCAAAGGAGCCCATGGAAGCCTGGAGAGCAGGGTCAAGCAGGTCTTGCGCAATGGTTATAAAACATGGCAGGAGCACTTGGTCACACTGGGGGTGGCCAGCTCCCGCCTCTGCTGCTTCATCCATGCAGCTCCCTTCCAGGCAGGTCTCTGGTCCCAGAGAGTACAAGGGCCTTAAGGTAACAAGGACCTACTCTGTGCAGGGCAGGAAAATGAGCCTCAAGGCGGGGGTAAGCCCAGCCTCTGCTGCTATGTGCCAGCTGTCAAATGACATTGGACCTACTGTGTGCACGGGGGGGGGGGGGCAGGGCTGGACAGCCTGGGCCTCTGCTGCTATGTTCACACAGCCCCCTTTCCTAAGCAGGGCAACTCCTAGAAGGAAGAGGCGTGTGAACCAGCCTGATGACCTACTGTGTGCAAGGGACGAGGACTGGACTGCAGCGGGCCCGGATCCAAGCCCAGCTGTGCACACTGGTGTGTGGGGAATCAAAATTTGCCGCCCCAGGGGGCCAGCCTGGTGGCACAGTGGTTAAGTTCCCACATTCTGCTTCAGCAGCCCAGGATTCACCGGTTTGGATCCCAGGTGTGGACCCAGGCACTGCTTGTCAAGCCACGTTGTGGCAGGCGTCCCACATGTAAAGCAGAGGAAGATGGGCACAGATGTCAGCCCAGGGCTAATCTTCCTCAAAAAAAAAAAAAAAGAAGAATTTGCCACCCCAAAATGTGTCTCTTTGGCTTATTTTCAAGAACTAGAGACTCAAAGACACTTTGACCTTCCCCCAATTGCCTGAAAGAATTTTAGGTAGAAGACCTGTCCCCGCGACAGGCCATCATCATAGGTAATTCTAGGTGTGGTAGACAGAGGCTTTTAGCAAGGGCCAGTTTATCAAAAGATCTCTTCCGGATCCCCTTGTTTACAGACGGCCAAGAAAACACTCGTTTACCAAACATTTGCTTTTCCATCTCCATATGAATTGCCTCCCCGCCCGCCTCAAGACCCACACCACTACCGCCAACATCCTCCTTCCTCTTTAGCTGAAGATGGTATTTAAGGTAGCAGCTTCAGCCATTTTGGCGAGTTGCTCAGTTTTCTTGGGTTTCTCCCATGTACACGTTATCAAACTTTGGTTTTCTCCTGTTGTTCTGCCTCACGTCAATTTAGTTCTTAGATCAGGCAGAAGGACCTAGAGGGTAGAGGAATAGTTCTTCCTCCCCTACAGGTGCATTGAAGGGGCTGCGGTTTCATGGGAGGCTCATAGGGCTCCCTCAGCCCCTGGACCGAGAAACAGAGAGTGACAACAAGAATGACTACTTTGTGAAAGCCAATCCCAGGGACGGCCTGCGGCGCCAGTCAGCTGTGCTCAGGCCGCCGCCACCGCTGACGGAGATTCCCATGGCCGAACCGGCGCTAAAATGCCCAGGGACGCCGTGGGGGTACCATCCCCTCGCAGCAGAGTAACCGGCACTCACCCCACCTCGGGGGCACAGCCCGGCCCCAGGGACTACAGCTTCCGCCACCTCGCCTAAAGCTCCTACGGATGTGCCCAGGGGGCACTTCCGGGCCCTGCGCGGACTACACTTCCCAGAGGCCTCAGCGTCCGCTAGCCTCTGCCTACAGCTCCCACGATGCCCCAGAGACACTTCCGGACCCTGAGTGCGTGCGGACCGCGCTTCCCCGTCTCTGCAACCACGTGTGCCTGCCTACAACACCCGTAACGCCCAGGCAGCGCTTTCTGCCCTGGAGACAACAAGGACCACACTTCCTTGAGGCTTCCCGTCCGCGGGTCCTACAACGACTGAGCAGCACTTAGAGCCCCGGACACGGAATAGACTGCATTTCCCAGAGGTTCGGCGCCCGCGCGTTCCTTTTACGTCTCCACAATGCCCCAGGAAGCCCTTCCAGCCCTGAGACAGCGCACACTACACTCCCTAAAGGACTCGGAGCTCGCGGCTCCCCCTCCTTCTTCCTTCTGCCCCTAGCCTGCAGATCTCACAATGTTCAGGCAGCATTTAAAGCCCCCGACACAATGCGGACTCCACTGCCCGAAGACCAGCGCTTGCACGCCCCTCCCCACAGCTCCCACGATACCGCGGAGAGCACTTATGGCCCCCAAGACGCTGCGGAGTCCATTTTGCAGAGGGCTCTTCACCCGCTCCCCCACCCCTATTGCCCCAGGGCCTTTACACGTGCACTGTGCCAGGAAGGCTCCTCTCCTGGTTACTTCCTGCTCTCTTGCCTCTCAGTTCAATGCCCTCCGGCCCTTGTCAGATCGCCCATCACTGCACTTCTCTCCACATGCTGCAGACCACATCCACATCTGCTGGCCTGGGCCGGCCCCGTCAGAGGCCACAGAGACCCACAGATGGAGTCGGTGCTCTCATCTCTCCACCCTGCAGTGGCTGCGAGGCTGCTGGCGCCTCCCACACCCCTGGCCTTACCCAGACAAGACACTCCTCAAGGCTAGCTGAGGCCCTTGGTGAGGAGGCATGGGGAAGTAAAGTTTCTGGAGGGCACTGGGCCCTGCACTCCTCGCTTGTTTCTCCATCCGCACAGACATTTGTGTACATCCAAGTTTATTCTCACTCTGCTCCTGGACTCAGTGTTGTCCCACCCTGTGCAGGGGATACGGCCGGGCTGGGATTCTTGAGATCTCGTGCACGTCTCGGGTGGAGGTAACACTGCAAGTGGGGGTGGTTGTCAGCGTTGAGCCCGGCCCCTTTGGATGTCCAGATGTGGAATGCCAGGTGGTCAGAGTCTCCAGGTTCCCTCGCACACAGCCTGATACGTGTCCTGTGTCAGGGGCCGGAAAGCCTGCGCCTGATTGTCCAGCACAAACAGGGGGTCAGCAATGACGCCCACATTGAAGCCCTCACGTACTAAGCGGGACTTCACCAGTTTGAATGTGCTCGTGATCTCCAGGGTGTCCTGCAGGGACAGAGACCATAACCCCGATGGTGACTCCCTGGCCTCGGTCTCCCTCCTCCCACCCACCTACTCCTGCCACCCTGAGCTCACCTGGATACGGACGAAATGGGGGGCAGCGTAGGCAGGAAGCCAAGAACGCACGTGCTGGTACAGCCTCTGCCCATCGAAGCTCTGGCCGGGGGCCAGCTGCACGGCAGCCATGCCTACCTTGCCCTCACACCCTGGGAAGCACAGCGGTCACTCTGGGCCGGCCTACCTCACAGTGCCCAGGGCTGACCCTCTCGCCTGGCCCAGCTCTGCTCACTGACTGTGCCCCAGCTGCTCCCCCACCTGTGAAACCGGGCAACAACCCTCCACCCATGAGGTGAACCCTCCGCACCTGGCACAGACACACCGTAGACGTTCACCTCCTGCAGGAAGTCAACAAGGGCCAACACGCCCTCCACCTCCCGCGTGGACACGTTCTCCCCCTTCCATCTGCGGTATGGGACCCGGCGCTCGTGACCACGCCCCGGCACGGGGAAGCCCCGCCTCTCGCCCCCCCTCCCCCCCCACCGCGGGAGCCGAGGGCCCGCCCCGGCCCTTCAGGATCCAGAAGCCCCGCCCCCCGGTCCCGCCCCGAGAGGCCCCGCCCCCTACCGGAAGGTGTCCCCGAGGCGGTCGCGGAAGTAGAGGAAGCCTTCGCAGTCCATGGCCAGGACGTCCCCCGTGTTGTAGTAAACGTCGTTCGGGCGCCGCACGTTCCGCACCAACTTCCGTTCCGACTGCTCTCGGGGCCCACGGTAGCCCAGGAAAGGGTGGCGGCCTAGCACCTGGGTCAAGAGGAGCCCCGCCTCCCCTGGGGGTAGGGGTAGTTGGGGCATTAACCACGGACCAGGCCTCAGGAGCCCGCCAGCCCCCAGCCGGAGGTTTCCAATAGTGGACTCTTCGTCACCCGGGACCCCGCCAGAGACCCAGAGATACAGACAGGGAGATCAGAAATGAGAGCCAGGCAGGGAGACAAAATGAGACACGAGCGAGAAGGTGGCATCGGGGAGACCACCAGAAATAGGAAAAGGATGGCAAGGGATGGACGAGGGGCAAAGACAAATGGTGGTGGGAAGAGAGACCGCCAGGACCTTGCAAAGCCCCGGGAGAGAAGCCCCTGGATGGTATGGACAAGAGACTGATGCCTAGGAGGATGAGACTTCCGCAGAAGCTCGAGAGAACAACTCAGATGGACACCCAGAGACCCCGCAGAGCAAGAGACTGAGGCTGGGGAGCCAGGTAGAGCTGAGGCTGAGGGTCCCAGACGGCCAACAGATGGGCCGGGGACTCAGGGTACGGGTGAGGGCTGCAGACACCACCACTGGGCACCGACTTCAAAGCTTCGGGCAGCTTGTTCTAGCCAAGGAGGAAACTGAGGGTCCCTACCCTTCCCACACCCAGAAAACACTTTCCAGCCACAATACCTGACCCCACAGGGATGCAGAAGCCCCGATGGTCCCTCACAGGCTCCTCGGCCTCCATGTCGAACTGTACCAGCTCAAAGGGGGACAGCATCTGAATGGAGGGTGAGGAGGTGTCAGCAGAGGTCCTATGGGCTCAGCCTCAATCAGGGCCACTGCCATTTCCAACCCACTCACTCGAAGGAGGCAGCTTGTCTTGCCCAAGGCCCCACAGCGCCCTGGATAGTTGACAAAGCCACCGTTGCCTTCCGTGGAGCCGTAGGCTTCCAGGATCCGAATGGGGCCAAAGCGCTGCTGGAAAGTCTCCCACACATCTGCTCGGAGTCCATTGCCCATCGCCAGGCGCACTGTATGTGTCCGGTCCTCTGGTCGCTGCAGGTAGATCCCAAGAAAGGCGAAGAGAAATCCTTACCTGGGAGGGCTATCTTGGGTCCTTACCTGAGGAGATACCTGCGAGGTGATGGGGGCCTATACCTAGAGGATGTACCCGGGGTTCTTACTTGCAAGTAGTACCTGGAGTCTGTATCTGGAGGGTTACCTGCAGGGGAGTTACCTGGGGGCCTTTTCTGGAGCAATACCTAAGGATGACTGGAGGCCTCATCTTGGGTCTTACCTGGGGGAAATATCTGGGGTCTTATATAGGGGTAATTACGTGAAACTTTTACCTGGGGTGGGGGGTGAGGAATTTACCTGGAGGTAACCTGGGGAGTGACTTGAAGCTTCATCCTGGGGAGTTACCTGGGGCCTTACTTGGGGGTAGTTTGCTGGATCCTTTCCCTGAGGGGTTACCTAGAGGTCTTATCTGGAGAGGTACCTGGGGACCTTGCCTGGAGATAGTCACCGGGGGTCCATACCTCACTGCTCTGTAAGGATGAGGTCAGCTCACATCTAGTGAGTTTGTCCTGAGCCATACGCTGTTTTAGGCACTTTACAGGTGTTTAATTCTCACAATACCTCCTTGAGGTATTGTCCTCGTTTTCCAAATGAGGACACTGTGGCTGAGGGAGGTGAAATCACCTGCCCAAGGTAGCACAGCTGATCATCGAAGGAGCCATGACTGGAAACCTTCTGTGGATGGGGCTGGCCCGCTGGCGCAGCGGTTAAGTTCACACATTCCACTTCTCGGTGGCCCGGGCTTCGCCAGTTGGGATCCCGGGTGCGGACACGGCACTGCTTGGCAAAAAGCCATGCTGTGGTAGGCATCCCATGTATAAAGTAGAGGAAGATGGGCATGGATGTTAGCTCAGGGCCAGTCTTCCTCAGCAAAAAGAGGATTGGCAGTAGTTGGCTCAGGGCTAATCTTCCTCAAAAAAAAAAAAAAGAAACCTTGTGTGGGACTCATTATCTGTGGCTTTTGCCAGGGGTGTTTTACCTGAGGGACGTTGCCTGAGTCTTGTACCTGAATCTACCTGAGACCTTTACCTGGGGTGTTCACCATGGAGCCCTAATCTTAGCACCTCACCTGGGGAGTGTTACACAGGTACCGCAGGACCTCGCCCACATAATGGATCACAGTCACACCATGCTGCCGACAGTCATCCCAGAAGCAGGAGGCAGAGAACTTAGGGGCCAGGACACAGGTCACTCCTGGGAGGGAGGAGAGGAAAGAGTTTTAGGTCATGCTTCCAAATCAATGTGAGAAACTGCTTTGATCACCTAACTATGGCCCCCTGAAGTACAGGATGATATTGGGCTCATCTCTGTGTCCCTGGCCCAGCCAGGACTGCCCCCATTAGAAGAGCATAGGCTGACCTAGGGTCAAATCTTGTCTCCAGAATGTGTGGAAAGCTCGGTGCCTGCTACAAAGTGAGCACTGCTAAATAAGGGCTGTGAATATTAATCTTTCTTGATTATGATAAATGTTTTATGAATGTCTTGCTGGGTAGATGGATAGAAAGGTGGATGAATGGATGGATGGATGGATGTGTGGACAGATTTTTGGGACCCCTCTCTCTGATCTAACAGGCGATCTAGCAAGCAAACTGCATAGGCTTTAAGTCAGTACAATAAAATCCATGCTGTTCCATGAAGCAGCTGTGCAGGCCATCGTCAGCCTGTGTCAAATGACTTTGCAACCCCACACCTGACTTAAGGCACCAACTGGAGACAGCAGCAACATGAAAAGATTAAGTGTACCTAGTTCCTACATCCACAGCTGCATTTCTTGGAGACTGAGGGAATAATTAATGACCCTGGTTTTTGCCTCCCTCCACACATAGATAATGCCAGCATCTCTGAATTCATTTGATACATAACCAAGGAATTCTTGCTTGTGTTACTTTTAATGTATAATCTACAGAAAAAACAGATATACCCTATCTTTTTTTGACATATATGAAATCTAGTTGTAAGTTGTTTTTTTCCCTCTTCTCTGCATGTGCAGTGTTTTGTGAAAGAGACATAAGCTGCACTTAAACTTACACACTTCGGAGCAGTTCCTCAGAATACTCTGTTGGACTGTGTCCTGGGATTTGAATTCCTCACCTTGATTATCAAATAGACTCCTTTAATTAACCTTTACCCAGACTCTTTATTTCAGTTGACAGATGGGTGGATGGATATATAGATGTTTTTAAGGATGGACACATGGATTAATAAATTTTAGGGGCCACTACATCACCCCAGGAGAGTGATCCCTCCTTTTCTGATTACCTCCTCTACAGCTGGCTCTATGGAAGGTACACACCCTACCTCAAGCCTAATCCTCAACAAAGCCTGACAAGCTAAATATCATCATCCCTGCACCCAAAGGGACAGTTACTCATGTGCTTGGTGAGGTAGCAAGTGTTTGTCTTCTTTGAGGCTGTATTTTTGGCAGAGAGGTAAAATATAAAGCCCTCTCTGTGAAAATAGATGCCAGTCCTTGAAAGCGACAGCTTTGTTTGCAACCCCTAATGACACGCCTGATTCTGGAAAGGTCTTCAAGAGCTGGTAAAACCAGGGGGACGGGGGCGAGTGGTTAAGTTTGCACACTCTGCTTTGGCGGCCCAGGGTTTCGCCAATTCAAATCCTGGGTGTGGACATGGCACCACTCATCAAGCCATGCTGAGGCGGCATCCCACATCCCACAACTAGAAGGACCCACAACTAAAAAATATGTAACTACGTACCAGGGGGCTTTGGGGAGAAAAAGGAAAAATGAAATCTTTTAAAAAATAAAAATCAGGGGGAGGGTTGATAGGGAGTTTTCCGATTAAAGCTTCTGAATTCATGTTAGCCTCCCTAAGGTAGGATAACAGTTATGAGCTGCCTCCAATGTGACGAATTAGGAAGCACAATGCACCCCACCAAGGTTCTTGAATAATTGAACTGAATCTAACAACATCTCTAGAGGGAATTTCCAGTCTGACAGGAAATTTGGGGGAAAGAGGAGCACAGACCAAACAAGCAAGTACAATAAGGAGACTTTAACTGTAAAAAGACAATTAGAGAACTAGGGAAATTTGAACATGAAGTGTACATCAGATGATTAAAGAGCTACTGTTGATTTAGTCAGATGTGACAATCACTATGGTTTATAGTTTTTAAGTTCTTATATGTTAGAAATACCTACTGCAATATTTACAAGCTGAAAGACAGAGTGTCTAGGATTTGTTCTAAAATAATCCAGAAAGAAAGGAGAGTACATATGAAGTGAAATTGGCAGGACGTTAACAATTGTTGAGGCTGGGTGAGGATATGTTAGATATAATCAAACTATTTGCTTACTTTTTTCTATGTCTGAAGTTGTCTATGATAAAAAAAAAATTTAGGGGGTGGCCCCACGGCCTAGTGGTTAAGTTCACATGCTCCCCTGTGGCAGCCCAGGGTTTCACTGGTTCAGATCCTGGGTGCGGACATGGTACCACTCATCAAGCCATGCTGAGGCGGCATCCCACATGCCACAACTAGAGATATCCACAACTTAAAATATACAACTATGTACCAGGGTGCTTTGGGGAGAAAAAGGAAAAATAAAATCTTTAAAAAAAATTATATTAAGATCTGAGAGTAAAAAAGACAAGTGGAAGCGGAGGAGGAAGTGATAAATGAAACAAGTACAGCAAAATGTCGATGGTGGCTGAAGCTGGGTAACCTATGGGACCTTCTAACCCTGACAGCCCCACTCTGACATCCCGTCTAGAGGTCCTGTGGGTTGGAGGGGTCCTCAGGGAAGGGCTTACCGAGTTCCAGGCAGCCGAGGACTCCAATGACAAGCCCCATCACGTGGTACAGAGGCAAGACTGTGTAGACTACGTCATCAGCTCTCACCCCAGACAAGGACAGCATCCTGCACATCTGTAGCAACCGCTCATGTGTGAGGATGGCTGGCTTCGGGAGCCCTAGGAAACAAAGGAGTGGGAAGGGTGTGGTGGTGAAAGGACAGCACAAGAGGGATCAGCACACAGGGGTGTGTCTCCATGGTCAGGGGTTTGAGGTTCTCAGAAGGGGGTCAAGTATGCGAATTTGTGGGTGGGTTCAGGGAGGACAAATTGGATTTGGAGTTCAGAGGCTGAATTCCAAAGTTCAGTTAGGGTTTCAGTGGCTGTTTACTGAGCAGAGGCAGGGTTCTGGCACAGACCACTCAGATCACATTGGGGGTCAGAGTTCAGGCCAGGTGTCACAATCAAAGGGCAGGGTTTCAGAGGTCAAGTTTGAGGCACAGATCAGGCCTGGGGTCAGGTCAGCAGGAGAGTTCAGAGGTTGGGACTAGGGCTGCCAGGCGCCCTCACCAGTGGTCCCTGAGGTGTAGATGAACAGGGCAGGGCTTCGTGGTGTGATCCCAGCACGCACGTCAGCAGGCACGGGGTCTGCAGGTGCATCCTCAAGGGCAGCCACCAGAGCCCCCACCCCTTGCGTGGGAGAGGAGTGGCTGAGGTAGAAGCAGCGGATGTTCTCTGCCTGCAGCTCGGGAAGGACCTCCTCCAGGTTCTCCTGGAGGTCTGCAAGGATGGTTCAGAGGAGAAACTGAGGCAAAGCCCACCTTCAAGTTCTCAAGAGAGGACTTGAGACCCACAGATGGAGAAGAGCCCACTGCCAGCCAGAGGAAGCAGCCAGCAGAGAAGCTTCTGCATTCCTCTGTCAAGAACCCCCAAATTAGTATTTTTTGGCAAAAAGAAATGAAATAGCCATGGTGAAGGAAAAAACAAATTCTGCTGCTCTCAGAATTATTTTCCAGCAACTAAGTTCTGACTCTAATTGCCTGTGAGGGTGGGTGGGGAGGAAGGAGCTCCTTGCCCAGCCCCAGGACCCTTGGACTAGTGGTCCTCTGTCTGTTCCCTGCTCCTGTCCCTGCCCCCTTTTGTCGTCCGCTGGCCTCTTGGGTCCTCACCTGGGTCCACCACCAGCACCTGAGCCCCAGAGCTCAGCACCGAGTGCACCAGGGGTGCCCTCCTGCCGTGCGGATTGATCCAGGCCACTGGGCAGCCCAGCTTGGCCAGCCCCAGCCACAAGCCCAGGGCAGGAATGGCCTGGGAGGGCAGCATCAGAAGGGCAACAGTCTCCTGGGCATGCGGGCCCACAGAGCCACCCAGCTTGGCCTTCAGGGCCCACGCCGCATGGCAGGCCCGGGCATCCAGCTCCCCAAAGGTGACTGAGCAGTCCCCTGGCCCTGTGCACACCAAGGCCGCGTGACCCGGCTGCGCTCGTGCCTGCCGCTCAAAGGCATCCACAAAAGTGTCGGGCGGCTGGCGGCTCAAACGCGCCCTGACGTCCAGGCCCAGGCGGAGGATCCTGATGATAAAGGCCATATCAGCAGGCAGCCAGCGCAGGCCGGGGGGCAGCTGTGTGGGCAGCAGGGCCAGTGTGAGGGCCCCGGTCCCCAGACTCAGCCAGTGGGGCATCCAGGGACCAAGCCAGGGCCAAGCCAGTAGGGCCAGGCCAAGCAGCACACAGCAGGTGGAGTCCTCTAGGAGCCAGCGCAGTGCCAGGGCCATGGCTGCAGGCCATACCGGCTGCCCCAGGCTTCGAAGCAGGAACAGCAGCAACAGCAAGAAGGCCAGTCGCAGCCTGACGCCCATTGCACCTGCTTCGCCCTGAGAAATGTCCATGGAATGCTCACCTCTTCCCCGGGTGACCTGGCCTGGAACTCTGGACCCCCAGGGCAGCCCATCAGCCCCGCCCACTGGCAGTAGCCCAGAGATGTTAGCAGTGCTCTGGCCCCAGGACTCTGCCCCCAGCCCTTCACCCCACCTGTTTGTTTCTCATTGCCTGGTCCTCTGCGTGGCTCCAGCCCCTCCGCCTCTGTCACCACTGGCTGTGGGCCAGGCACTGGGGAAACAGGCAGAAACTCCTGCTCTCAGGAAGGTGATGTTCCAGTCAGGCCAACTGCAAAACCAGCAGGATAGCAAGGGAAATCTCGCCGCAAGCACTGCTTGCTGCGGGGTCCCATGACACTTGCTGGCCAGCTGCCCAGTGGGCAGCCCAAGGGTCCAGCTGCCACTCCCCTGCCCCCTGAACTTGCCTGGCAGGGCAGGTATCCTTAGGCTCAGATCCCCTCATGGCACCCTTGTTCCAAAGACCCTCTAGGCCCCCCCAAAACTGAAATGCCAACAATCATGCCCATCAGAACAAGGGAGAGCAAGTTTTAAGTCCAAATGGCCTTCAGAGTCTGGCTGGAAGACTGGAGGGAAGGGCCTCGAAATCTGCATCTTGGATAGCAGCAGCGGGGATTGTGGCCCGGGGGTTCACACATATGGCCTCCCTCTCCTAGACCCACCTCAGATGTGGCTAGCCTGTACCTCTCCCCATAGAACTGAGGGTTCTAGATGACTCAAGCACCAGTCATATGCACACCCCATTCCCACCCAGAGAACAGAGACATGAGATGACGAAGCAAATTGTCCTGTCCCTGCCCAAGGGAGCCCAGGGTGGGGGCAGGGGTGCTGCCCAGGGACGTGGGTGCTGAGCTTTGACCCCCACAGCCAGCCTGTGACGGCGAGGAATGCACGGGTCCGGGAGCTCAGAGCTTCCGGCTTTGGGCTCCACGGCCCATAGTCCTTTATTACAGAGCGCGGGTCGCAAGGCCCGGTCCCAGTCCATGATGGGCCCACCTGAGCCTCCTTAGGCTTCAGATGAGGGAAGGGTAGCTCGGAGTGGGGAGCCAGGGACCTGGCCCAGCATGACACTGGGGCAGAGGGAGTAGGGTGCGAGGCGAAGTCCAAGCCACGAATCCTGAGCCCCGGCTCCAACGGTGTGAACGCCCAGTTCAGGCTGGGGATGATCCATTTCTCAGAGCGGGTCGAGTCCCTGACCATCCCCAGCCACAGCCAGCCACCACCGGAAGGGTTCGAGTAGGCAGGAGGATAAGAGTAAGGCGGGCTGGGCCACTGGTCAGGTCTGGAGGAAAGGGTGGAAGCATGGGGAGGGCCTGCGCTCCGGGGAAAGTGTGGTCTGGTGGCGGGAACGTGGTGGAGGCACCACAGCGGGTGTGACTCCGCTGGGCAGGGACGATGCAGTGGGCGTGGCCTAGCCCCACCGGGTGTCCCAGACCCCTCAGAGGGGGAGGCAGACGGTGGGGGGCGTGGTCAGTCACACGGCGGGAGTGGCCAGGCCCCAGGCCCGGATCAGGGCGCCGGGTGCGCAGCCAGGTGGCGCTCGAGCAGCGCACGGTGCGAGAAGACCTTGCCGCAGGCGGGGCAGGGCGCGCGCTCGGGCCGGTGCGTGCGCATGTGCACGTTGAGCGAGCTCTTCTGCGTGAAGCGCTTGGCGCAGACTGCGCACTGGAAGGCGCGCACGCCCGTGTGCGTGACCATATGCTTGAGCAGGTAGTCGCGCAGCGAGAAAGATCGCCAGCACACTGCGCACTGGTGGGGCTTCTCCCCTGCGGGCGACAGGGCGGCCACGCACAAGTCAGCTGGGAAGGAGCCCTGGGGCGCCTTTGCCGGGCAGGGGCTCCCCTCCACTCCCAGGCCAACCAGCAACCACGAATCCTCTTGCCCGGCAGGGACACCCCCTCCACTCCTGGACTACCCCTCACTCCCGTACCTTTCTGCCTAACAGGGACCCCCACATATATCCCAGTATGGGACGCCCCTCTCTCAGACCCTTACTGTCATACAGGGATACCACTGCCTGTCAAGGTCCCCCAACTCCCACAAGTACTCTCCCAGTTGGGAACCCTTCCTGTCTGGGACATCGTTGCCCAACGGGACTAACCACTCAGGTCTCCCCCTACCTCCAGGGACTGCCCCTCCCCCCGCCCCAATCCACACGGGGCCTGGCACAGGGCAGGGCCTCCCCTTCCCCCATTCTTGGCATGCCCATAGAGCATTCTGAACTTATCCTTGGCCACCATTCTGGGGACAATCTGGCAAGGCCCAGCACCCTTACACTGGAAGAGACCTAGGCATACCTTCCCCCCTTCCTCCTGGAAGCCTCTTGTTGCCCAGGACCCCTGCCTGCTGGCCACTATAATGTTCCCGGGGTAACAAAGCAGGCTGCAGCCCCCATCCTGGATCAGAGAAAGGGAGGTGGGCTGTGTTGGCCCCTAAAGTCATCAGGTATTAATAAAAAGTCTCTGTCAGCGGCAGGGGGCTGCAGGGCAGTGCCTGGCAGAGGGTTCCCCAGACCAACCAGGCCTGGCACCTGTTCAGCACCTGGCACCTGTTTGGCTAAGGCCAAACAAAGCTTGCAAATCTTGACTGGTACCCCCCTGGCACCCCCTGCCCTCTCTCCTTGTCCGAAAGGCAGCCAGGTGGAGCTTTGAAACTGTAAATCACACCTCAGTCACTCTCCAGCTCACAACATTGATGATGCCTTCCTCACCATTCACAGTGAAATCCCACATTCCTGGCCCTGCAGAACTCCCCACTCCACTCCCACTGGCCTGCCAACCAAATCTTCACTTTGCCTAACCACATGCAGCTCCGTACCCGTGTCATCCACCTCAGCCCCCAGGGAGCACCCTGCACCCTCCCTGCGACGACACACCCAGGACCTGCCAGGCACCACCTTGGGCCCTCGCTCCACAACCCCCAGCACACCACCCGGGCGCACTCTCCACTTCTCCCCCAGCCACTGAGGACTGGAGCCACCTCCCTGACACAGCCATAGCTGAGGTTCGAGGAGGCCTCCCTTTCCTTCCCCAGCAGCTGTGGGGTCCCCATACTGCAGCTCCATCTCCCTCCTCCAGCCCTGATCAGGCCGCCTCTCTGCCGGCTCCCCCACGCTTTCTCTAGGCCAGGGAACGCCCCCTCCCTTCCTTTGGGTCCGTTGGCATTCGGGAAGACCCAGGAGGTTTCCTGAAGCACTGCTCCCCAACCTGGCCACATCTCCCCTGCCAAGACTCCATCCCTCCTGCGCATCCCACACTCCATCGTGATGACCAAAGGCTCCACCACCAGCTTTCCAAAGGTTCTGGGCTGATTCCTGCTCCCCAACGCAGCCTTCAGATTCCCCCTGCCGCAATAAAGCGAGGTAGGGGGGCGGCAGGAGTGTTTGCTACTCCATGTAAGGGGGCTTTCCCCACCCCTACACGCGTCATACTCGGGGGCTCAATTTCCAGACTGCCCTGGGGTCACGAAAGAGCAACCAACCGCGTCAGTGCCCGCTCCCCCTCACGTTTGAATCTCCAATGACCAAGGGGCTGAGGCCCACCCCGGCTCACCCGAGTGGATGAACATGTGCTTGGTGTAGTTTTTCCGCGAGCTGAACGTCTTGCGGCAGTGGCTGCACTCATACGCGGGCGGCTCCGCACCCGGGGCGCGCGCAGGGGTGGCCGACGGGGCGGCGGGCGGGGCCGGAGCCTCCCCGAGAGGCGCGCTGGGGGCCGGGTCCGGCTGGAGTGGCGGGTAGAAGGTGGGCGGGTGCGCAGGGGCCGGCCCGGAGGGCGCAGGCGAGGGTTGCACAGGCGGCCCGGGAGCGCCCAGATGAAAGGGGAAAAGCGCGACGGGCGGCCCCGGGGTCTTCACACCGGGCGTGCGGGGTCCCGACAGGACGCAGTCGGGCGGGGCCGAGGTCTCGGCTGGACAGCCTTCGGCGGTGGTGCCGTCTTCGTCTTGCCAAGCGGAGACGTAGCTGTCGGGGAACATGTCCTCGGCCGCAGAGGCCCCCCGAAGGAAATCTCTCCCGGCGCCGCCGTAGTCAGAGAGGCCGGCGGGCGCAGGCGGCTCCTCGCGCGCGCTGTCACGGGCTGTGCTGAGGAAGCCGGCGGCGCAGTCGGGGAAAGCAGGGGGCGCCTGGCCCTCGCCTGGGCCGCCGCCTTCGCCCTCCTCGCCTTCGGTCTCGTCATCGGTCTCCTCGTCGTCGTCGTCACAGCCGTCGTCTGGGACCGCGGGCAGGGTGGGGTCAGCGTCCGACCCCTCCGCCTTGGCCGGCACGGGGGGCGCGGGCAGCTGCAGGCGCGCGGGTTGGCGCTGCTTGCGGCTATGCGCGACACCCAGGTGGCCTGGGGGTCGCGCGGCCAGCAAGTGGCGCAAGCGGTGGCGCAGCTGCGCAGGTGCGAGCGGCGGGGGCACGGGCGTGGGCAGCGGCACGGGCGCAGGGGTGCCTGCGGCGGGGGCGCGGGCACGGGCAATGATCTGCGTACACTCGTCTATGACGGTCTGGATGCGCAGCACCGACGCGGCCGTGAGCACCTGCAGCGCTTCGCCCTGCGCCACAACCAGCGAGCCACTGTAGAGGAACTCTACGAGCTGGCGCACGGTCTGCGCGGGCACTACCGGCGGCACGCGGATCTCGGAGTGGCCAAGCAGCAGCTTGTCCTGGAAGAAGGGCGAGCCGGCGGCCAACACGCAGCGGTGAGCACGCAGCGAAGCCTCGCGGATGCGCACTGTCACGTCGCAGAAGTGGCCACCCAGCCGCTGCCCGTTGAGGGTCTCAAGAAGCGAGCGAGAGAAGTTCTGCAAGTGGATGTGATGCACCGCCTCTGCTGCCGCCATCTGCACTGGACGAGGGGGTGTGGGTGGGGGGAGGTCAGCCCAGGACCCCCCTCTGCCCCAGCACTGATGTCCCTCAGCCCTTATCGCAGGACAGGGCTCAAGGGCACACCACACCACCAGGCTTTCAGAACCCCAGCCCTCCCTAACCGCCCCTCGAAGTCCTTGGTCCCAACACACAGGACACAGCAGGACTCCCCCTACTCCAGGACTTCTGTAGCTCCCTCCACCTCCGCAGCCCCCAGCGCACCCCTGGGAGACCGTTAGGGATACTACAGGTCTGCCCCCGTCCAGGGCTCAGCTTCCCCTATGGTAGCCTACCCACCCACCCTTCCCCTAACTCCAATATCCATAAGCCTTCCTCATGTCCTACTCCCAGGGAGGCAGGGACCCCTATCCAGAACTGGCTGCCAGCCTCATCCACATCCCACCCGGCTAGCTGTGACTCCCCGACTCGAGGCTTCTTTTGGTCACCCTTTGCCATATCCCTCAACTTTAGAGCATGCAAGGCCCTGTGCAGAACAGGTCTGCTGCCTCAGAACAGGGTTAGGTTGACTAATGAATACCGAGGTCTTTGCAGGGGTCGGTGGCACTACCTGTCTCCTGGGCTTAGCGATTCAGGGTATGCATAGTGACAAGGGGTTGAGAGTGCATTCAGCTTTAGCCTAGCAGGTACCCCACAGGAGGAAAACACATGGTTTCTGGCAGACCCCAGCACGCAGGGAGGTGCTTTTTGGATTCTCAGTGGGACCTATGGGACGCAGGGTGTGAGTGTAGCATGGAGGAGGTTTGTGTGGACTGTGCAGGGGTGTGTAATTGGGTAGGCACGAGTGGAGCAGCAGCCGCCTGGAGGTCAGCATGGCTGAGCAATCCTGACACTTCTCACCAAACTGTGGCCTTGTAATCTGAGCACTGCCCACTCTCTGGGACAGGAAAGAGGAGGGGTGGGGAAGCTGAAAAGCACCAAGCTCACTGGGCCTGTTTCCCCTCTATCAAACAGGGATGGGAGACCTGGCTCATCCTCCACCCAGGCCCCACACACCTCCAGTCTACGGGAGGAGAGTTGGGACATAGGATGCACCCTGGGGCCCACCCACTATCCAACAGCCTGGCTCAGCTAGGGTCACTCAGCCCCAGAGTGAGGCCTCTCTTAATCTTCAGGGTCTAGTGGGGTCTCAGACTCACGCCCTCTGACTCTTTATGCCCAAATCGCCTTTCCCTTGCTAGCGTCAGACCCATCCTTTTCTTGCATGCTCCACTTCTGACTGCTCAGACCACTTTGCACACCTCGCCCGCAGCGGTACCGCTGGCCTACACTGATGCAGGGCCCCCCTCCCGCGCAGTTCCCCACGCGACAGCCAGGGGGAGCCTCTTCAGACCTAAGAGACCTGAGAGATGGGGACCCTCTGCTCAGACCCCTCCTTGGCGAAAGTTAATTCTTGGCAATTCCTCAAACGAGCCAAGTCTGCTCGTGCCGTTACTCTGCCACAAGCACCCTCCCCGTCTTCATTCACCAGCATCCAAAGGCCTCCGATCCGTGCCCGGGCGATGGGGACAGAGACCTGCGCATCGACCTGCGCATCGACCTGCAGGGCTGGAGCCCTTCTCCGACCCACCGCGCCCTGCTCCCAGGCGGGCTCCGACTCCTGTCCACACCAGCAGGGCCTTCTTGGCGCCTCAGAACAGGCCCACCCTCCCAGGCATGGCGCCGCATTCTCGTGCCACGCCTTCACCTGCGCCATGCGCTTGGCTCGGAGCACCCTCTCCCGTACCCTGCGCCACTGCTCACGCCCTGCCCGAGCCCACAGCCCGCTCTCCGACCCGCTCCGGCTGCACCGCCCCGGCCCCGGCCAACCTATTTCCCGCCTCCGTGCCCTTGCCCGCGCCAGGCCCACATCCTACAGCGCCCCCTCCCGTCCGCAGCATGCTTTCCGAGCCTAGCACGGGCGCCCCTCCCCTGGCACGCCCCGGCCTCCCCGCGGGCCCTGCTGCAGGGGGATGCCCGCCCGACCCCACCTCCGGCTCCTCCTCAGGGACCAGGCCGCGCCGCGGCCGTCTCCCGCTCACCACCTCTAAGGCCGCACTTCCGGGCCGCGACGCCCACGGAACCAAAGTGCTCAACCCCTGCAGCGCTAGGTAGCGCTAGGTCGGAGCACGTTTCCGGTGTTTCTATAGAGATAAGCCGCCGCTGCCCGCCCGCACTTCCGGTTCTGGTTAGAGTCGGAACCAAATGCACAGAGGCTGGGGCCTCCTGGCGGCGAGGAAACTCCGGCTAGAGCACGCTTCCGGCGCGGCCATAGAGGGAGGCGGGGGCGGCGCCTGTGTGTCTGTCCGCGGGCAGCGGAGGCGCGGTGGGGAGTGCGCGGGCGTGGGAGAAGGGCTCGCCCCCTGGCCCCTCGGACTCCAGCCCCGCATGGACGCAGGCGAGATACCCCACCGGCGTTTGCGGCCGGAGTGCGGGAGAGGATGCTACCCTCCCCGAGCCTCGGTCCCAGGTTAGATGGGCGGCAGCCCACCCCTCCCCGCCCCTGCCCACCTGCTCAGGGCGAGTGGTGACCACGTAAATAAACGGATACTGAGCTGGACGCCGTCTGCACGCCACACTCGGGGCCGGGGCTCAGAAAAGAAAGGGCGGCGGGGGTACCTCTGCCAGGAGGGTAGTGAGCAGCCGGCCTCCAAAGACCAGAAGTCACTGTAGGGAACGGAATCTGTGGGAAGTGCTGTTGGGCAGAGGGAACAGCCTTGGTCTGCAAGGGCCTTGAGATGGGGCTGGCTGTCTAGGACGTTCATGAACCGAGCCTTCTAGATGGTGAGGCTGGAGTGGCCTGTTGGCCTGGCCTTATGCTCTACTCGGTGGCTGGAGAGAGGCACCAGGGCCTGGACCTCAAGGTCAGAACATCCCCTGGCATCTCAGCGGACCCCTATGCCTTGTGCGGCAGGTGTGGAGTCCTACTTGAGGAGGAGGAGAGGTCTGACTTCTTAGCCTCCAGTATGGGGACACAAGTGCAGAGTGCCTGCCTCCCACCTTGGCTAGCTGTGTTGTAGATGTGTTGAAGGGAGTGGGGGGAGGGGATTTGCCTGGTGGGGAGCCACCATCCCCATCTGATGGCCCATACCCTGAGGAACCTCATTAAAACCGAAGTCTAATGGCCTTATTGTCCTTGTTCAGAATCTAGGCCCCTGGCAATGGCCTACCTGGCTCACTGGGTCTGCTCTATCCAACTTCAATGACCCCTCTCCTCCCCAATTCCTGTCACTGCTCATTTCTCTCTGGCCTCAGGCTCTTTGCTTTGCCCACCTCGAGGCCAGCCAGTACAGTTCCATTTGTAGCACCCTCTCACACAGCTGAGCTGCCACCACTTCCCCTAGGGACCCTCCCTGACCTCAAGGCCCCCCATCTTCTATCACAGGGCCAGTGAGGGTGGGGGTTCATCTGTGTCCTTCACCTCGACAGACAGCTGCTGCTGCTACAACCCAAACAGGAATGGAGGTGCCAACAGCTGCTTCACCCTACCCTGGGCCTGATTCCATAGGATTCTGGGCATTGTAAATCATCTTGTTGGGGGGGGGGGGGCAGAATTCTAAAAATCCCCCCTGTGAAATTCCATGCCTTAATCCTCAGAACTTGTGAATAGTTATAGTACATTGCAGATAGAATTAAGGTTGCTAATGAGCTGACCTTAAAATAAGATGATCCTGGATTGTTTGGATAGGCCCAAGGTAGTCATAAGGGTCCTTAAAGGCAGAAAAGGAAAACAGACTTGAAGTAGGAGGAGGACTCCAGGGTCTTTGAAGGTGGAGGGGGCCATTTGACAATGGATGGGGGGGCTAGAATCTGAGAAGAGCCCGGGACAACAGTCAGCAAGAAAACAGGGACCTCAGTCCTACAACTGCATGGAACTGGATTCTGCCAACGACCTGACTGAGCTGGGAAGCAGATTCTTCCCCAGAGCCTCCAGATAAGAGCCCAGCCCTGCCCACAACTTGATTGCAGCGTTTGTGAGACCTGGAGCAGAGGACACTGCCTGGGCTTCTCCCCTACAGAAGAGTGGGCTAATAAATGCGTGGTGTTTTAAGCCACTGAGTTGGTGGTAATTTAAGTAGCAGTAGAAAATGAATACAGCTGCCAGAGACTGGGGGCCTCCACACAGTAAGTGTGTGATAAATGCCACTGTTTTCCCATCTGATGAATACCCTCCCACTGCTTCTCTCTTGCTGAATGCCTAATTTCTGCCTTACTAGCATTTATCAAGCACTTTGGTGGTCTCATTCCCCCATCCTACAAGCAGAGGGATTGAAGGGGTGAGAGAAGAAACCAACTGTCCAGACATGGCTGGAACAGCATCAGGGTAGGTAGAAAGGCATGTGTGAAGGCTCTGAGGAGGGACGGTGAGGCAGATGAGAGAATTATGAGGCGACTGCTGTGAGGATTGCAGGGGTGGCAGCACATCTGTGTGTTTAAAGAACCACAGGGAGGATAGTGGACCTAGTGGGGTAGCAAAAGCAGGAGGCCCAGAAAGCAGCAATGGCTGCTCAGACCTTGGCAGGAAAGGCCAGAAGGAGACAGATTCAGGGTAGGAAGGAGAGGACATGAGTGGCTTCAGAGAAGGTCTCAGTGGATGAGGATGAGATGGAGGACCTGGCCCAGAAGAGATGTGGGAGGCAGGAGGGAAAAAATCCAAATCCTGACCCTTCTTAGGCTGCAAGAGAGGGAGGAGCTGCAGCCTCCAGCATCACGAGAATTGAGAAAACATCTATTTAGCTTTTCTCTCCAAAGACTGTCACAGTGGTTGAGGGCATTTCAAGGAATAAATAGTGTAGCTGAGGACACAAGTTTAATAAACCAGAGAGGGCCAGCCTAGTGGCATAGTGGTAAAGTTCGCACAGTCCACTTCAGCGGCCCAGGATTCGCAGGTTCAGATCCCAGGAGCAGACCTAGCACCGCTCATCAAGCCATGCTGTGGCAGCATCCCACATAAAATAAAGGAAGATTGGCACAGATG